CGTGACAGTATTATTACGTCATAAGTGCGAAGGCGTCGCTGTAGTAAGCAGGACAGTAATGCTGCTCTTAAACCTTGAGAAAGAAGTCCAGGAGGCATTACAGATTCCTTCCTTTCTTCATTTTGTCCTCACTCTTTCTTTTGTCTTAAACAGAGCCCTTCCGTCATAATGACTGTTTGTCCTACACGTGGTTCAAGCAATCTGATTGGGACGCCACTTTCTCTGGCATGAAGCACACATTTTAGATAGCAGTGTCATCAGACCCTTCCTCCGCAGGTAGCGAAGGGGCGGGGCGAGACTAATACTATGATTGCTGGATTGTACCATCTTAGCTGCATGCCACCATTTTGTTAATTAAAGAAACATGTGCTTCAATTTTGGGTGTGGTCGCGCATGCTCAGATCCCAGAACTGGGAAAAGCAAGCAATTTTTTTTTATCTAGCTATGCTTGGGTCAACTGCATAGGCGGCTGCAGGGTCGGGCATTTAGGGGCAATGCCCGACCAAAAATTCTGACCGGAAGTGTGACATCACCATAATTAATAGTTATTCTATGGTTAATTAATAGTTAACAGTTATTGCAATTATAATTTCAATTTTTTATGAAAATCTTATAATTATGAATGCATAAATGGCAGGCTGATAACAAGGTGATGAAGAGAGACTAAATAAAGGAGGAGGTGGTAAGACTTTGGTGCCAATCACAGTGGGCCACCACAGCAACACTAGAAAGCATAATCATTTCATTATTTAGTGCTATTTCAGTGTTCTTTTCTTGTCAGTTGCAATGTCTAAAAGCCTGGACTAGCTTCACTATGTCCTTTGTGAACAAGCCTGCTAAAAAGGAACAACAGTTTACAAAGTAAACCTAGTAAGTACAGTATAGAAGTCAATAATACAGATTATCTCATATTCTTACTTTAGGTCAGTCTCTTGCTGAATCAGTTGATGATCATGAGTCTCAGTCTACTCTTGTGGTTGATACAGCTACAGTTTTTACAGCTACAGTTGATGTACAGTCAATTGTTGCTCATTCTCCATCACCCTATTCTTCTACTTCCTCTACTAATACTACTACTAGTATACTATTACCACTACAGAAGTCAGTGTTGGAGCTAGACCACCCACTACTTTATTACAATAACCTTCGCTACCAAAAAATTGCGCTAAAAAGGGTGCGTAAAAAAGGGTGTGGCCAAAATCGCGGCGCGCTTCGCGCCCAACCCATTTCCTGTGCCACACCCATGCCCGACTAGTAGTCAAATCCTGCAGCCGCCTATGGAGTGAAGAGAGTAGCTCTGGTTGAAACAGCTCCAAAGAGATCAAGGATTAGTAACAGCAAGAAGAACAACAACCCAAGAACACTGCAACAGAGTCCTTTGCTATTAATATCGCGGATTTTTCAATTAAAATTGCATCTGGTAACCATGGTAATTGCTGAGTGCAGGAAAAAATCGCGAAAATAAGCAGCCGCGAATATATCCCGACCTACGGTATATTCATGCTGATCACGTGCGCATAAATTAAAATGGCGTCAAACCACAAAGGCACAAACCCACGCGGTGTCTGCAGCTGGATTGTGTCTTCTTTGTCGAAGTTTGTCGATGTCTTCGCTTCTTTTGAAACTGCCTTTGTGGTCCTTGACCTAAGCCCAGAGGAGTGATGTAAAAGCCAACTTAAGCACTTCTCTGACTTAGAAGATTAGAAGGGAGATAGAAGAAGAAAAAAAGTCTGAAGAATTTTGCGGCAGAAATTTGAATTTGGGCCTATTCTCCAGAAATGCTCTTGCTACATTACAGCCCACTTTAAAGGTACCAGGATAATCGCTCAATGAAGGAAAGTTAATCTAAGCCATTTATAAGGCTGTACAACGTAAGATAAAAGAGTTATAAGTGTTTGAAAATCATAAAAATGGCCGCCATCTTAAAAAATCCACCTCAATCCTACAATCATAGATTGTATTACTAAGTAACAGGGATTGGAAACTGATGACGTCACACGGACAGACTCTGTAATGGTGAAAAGCAATGGAAGGACTACACAAGCTCTTCTCCTAGTCTCCAACTGTATTAATTTGAATTTTATTTACTATCGATGATGAACAGATAGGTCTTGGGAGTTCACGACTGTTCTTTGTGACGGTTAAGCATAGTTTTGTTGACAGAATCTTCGCCGCCTCTCGCGGCCCATGTTATCATTGAAATTGCCTTTGTGATGGCACAAATTAACGAATGCAGCTATTATTTTTCCAAAGTGCCGTCTGTGGCTTATATAATAGGCTAAAGGCATGTGAAAAACCCTGATCTTTGTTACAGCTTTTGTCCTTTATCCTAATTTTACTTACTTTTTGTGATATAGGTTGAACAGATACGCCTCTAAAAACAGACATTTTGGGATCTTATGATCTGTATGAAGCACTAGTGATAATGAAAGTATTTTAGTGGCACGTAGCTTTACTTGATGCATGTTTTTTATATTGACACTCTCTCAGTTTTAGTTACCCTTAGCAAGTTATAGGTTGAATAGATTTCACACCTATTACGCATGGTAAAAAAGCATGCTTTTTCTCATTTTTCTTCAAAATAAAGTGCTGTATTACAGCTTTAACAGTTTCTGATAAGTAAGCAAACCTTCAGCAACAATATAAGCTACATAACTGCCCTGGATCTGGCTTCAAGCTACACTTAATCCAGTAGTCCTCTCAGTCATATTGCTCTTGTCTCAACGAGCCGGAGAAGGGGCAGAGTCTTACAAGGTTCGTCCGCACCTGCTTTCATTAATTTGAATGAGATCACGTGATCTGTTTCCTATCCCTGTTACTTAGTAATACAATCTATGCTACAATCTACATATAGGCTACCGCTTATATATAATCATACAATAATAATACTATTCAACATGCAATGCAATGCCTGGTTTGATAAAGGCCATCTTAAAGGGTAAC